GAGAGAGAGAGAGAGAGAGAGAGAGAGAGAACTCAGGGCCTCAGGCACGTTAAGCAAGTGTTCTACTACTAAGCTACATCTCCAGCCCACTTTATTTCCTAAGTTCACTATTCAGGATGAAATATCAGTATCAACTTGATAAAAGCACAGGGTGACCTTTATCGAAATACTTGGAAACACAGCGTTTCAGATTTTGGAGTTTTTTGAATTTGGGAATATTTGCACAGATTTTACCAACTGAGCAGACTTAATCCAGAAATATAAAATGCTCCAAAACTGAGCATCAAGTTGGTTCTCAGAAAGTTTTGAATTACAGGTGCTCAGAATAGAACATGATTTACCACCATTTCTTTAACTAATCCATTCAAATAATGAAATATTTTAGTATTACTAAAAATGTGCCCCTTTAAACTTTCTTAAAAAAATAAAACATTCTTAAAAAGGCTTTATAGTAACTACTTCCCACCTTTCTAATGACTCTTTAAAAAACCTGAATTACTGCATTCATCAACTTGATACTCACATCTTGATTATATTCCAAGAAGACATGGAAATTTAGATCTTTTCTCAAAATAGGATGTGCTGCCACACGACATAGGAACACTTCATGCATTGCAACTGTCTTCTTGAATATTGCCAAATATTCACTAGAACAACACACAAAAAAACTATCAACTAGAAAGTCATCTGCAATAAATATTTTCAGGAAGTACTTTGGATTATTCTAAAAGCAAAATCAAGAATATAAAATACAATTCAGGTAAATAAAGGTTTTAATTGAATTGTTAATTAAATATATAAAACACAGCCCTAAAAAAGACTTCATGCTGGTTAATAGTATTTATTATATCTAAATGTTAATATTTTTAAATTTTACAAACTTTTCTCACTATGCAAGTTGATGTTAAAGGTCTATGGGGGTGTTTATTTTTACCTCCAGAGAAATTATGATAAAACCTTAGGTTTCAACTTTTACTACTGATTTTAATTTTAAACACCTTAGTACAAAACCTACCAAAATCCAAACCTCAGCATATTTTCAATGTTAATCATTATTTTCATCTAATAACCCAAACACACAAGAAACACACCATAGACTGGTTTTTGCCATTACACTGAAGAAATCTGTTTAAGAGATTTTAATATCACCATCAATGAATCCTAGTGAACATACAGTAATACACGTCAGTTTGAGGGAAGGAAAACACTCAAAAGGCCCAATATTCTTGCTTCAACTACGTGCAAGAAGGATAAGTTTTACATACCAGCAAACCAGCAGGATCAATGTTGGGAGAAGTTTGATCTCTGTGAGGGTAGTCATTCAGTGAAGACAAAAAAGAAGGATGCAGAGGATGGAGGTAGCAGTAGAATAAACCCAAGGTTCTGTTATCCAACCCCTAACCAGACCACAAAAGAATCATGATCAGGGCCACTGGAAAATCACAGATTCTCCAATATTATTATGCTTTCCTAATTTTCAGTTTTCAATGTCTTATAAACTTTAAAAATGTTTGCTATCAGATTACTGCTTGCACCCATACTGACAGAATAATTAAAATATCTGTCACTTTATACTTTGACAAAGAAGACCTATTTTGATAGTTTTTCTTTTCAAAAGAGTTTATGTAGTTATTCTGAAGAGGAGTCTAGTAGCTCTATAAATATATGCTTGAAAACTGAAACTCAGTGGAAGAGAAGAAAAGGAAATGCAAGAAGTGGAGAAATGACCATTAAAAAAAGATATGGAAGTGACAATAAA